GCATGGGCGGTGCGGCGTGATCCTCCGACCTCGTCTACTCGGACCCCATTTTTGGGAGGCTTCCATATACATATGTGCCGGCTGCAGTGGTGCGGTTGATTGGCAGCATCCTGCACCACCCGCGCGACCGGGTTGCTGGCGGAAATTTCGACGCGGCCCCCTTTCCCCGCTTCAAGGCTGGTTGCCATTGTAAGCGGGGGGCGCAGGATTCAGGAGGGGAAGAAACACACAGGCACAATGAACCGTCGATTCCCCCGAAAATATTGGAAAATATGGGCGGTGGGGGGGAAGACAAAAACCCAGAAAATATGGGAAAATATGGGGAATCCTGTTATTTGTGTGTGTATTTATTTGTGTGCCCCAGGGCCCCTTCAGTTACGTGATACCCGACCCCGAACCAAGCCTCTGGGTCGGTTTTGGAGGTCGCCGCGGCGATCGCGGCGGTCACAAATCGTGGCAAGGTTTTTGTCGACGAGTGGCATGCTCCTTCCCCCCCCCCCCACTTTGCAGTGTAGACGTGGCTCATAATCAGCAATCTGGCGGCATACAGTTGATAATACATGCCCATCATGGGCAGTCGATGTTTGGGATTAGGGGTCGCTTATCCGCGACAAAAAGTTATACGCAGACATCCTCTAAATTGATTGTTCCTGGGCCTCAGGGGAGGGCGGCGGTGGATAAGTTACCTTTGAGCGCCCGCGACTTGATACACCGCTGCCCTCCCTGAAGGTAGATGCAAAGTTTGGCGGAGGGTGCCTGTGCATACATGTTCGTAGCGCAGCTCATCACGCAACCGATGCTGTCCATCGGCCGTCGCGGGCAAAAAACATATCCGTGTCCCTGGCCTCGAGGGCCGGGACCGTGGGCCGCGTCCTTTGTCCGCGGCTGCCCAGCGCGGAGCGCACCCGTGAGACCGCGTATCCGCGGGATCGCGCCCCAGATCGGGGGATGCTGAAGGTGCCCCTTGGCCCAAGGTGCCCCCAGCTTCTCGCTCAATTTTGGACCCCCTGGGGCCCTCTGGGGGTCGTGCGGGGGTGCTCTGGAGGCCGTGGGGGCCTCCTTGGAACTCCTGGGGGGGCACCTTGGGCCAGGGGCACTTCTGGCAACACCCGACCAGAATCTAGAGCGCGAGGGTGTGGACGTGGGTTCAAGGTTCAAGGGAGGGAAAACCACCCCGTTTACTGAACGGCCCTGGGCGTGTACCAAACAGCCCTGCCTTGTTCGATTCCTTCTTTGGGCGCGTTTACTAAACGACTTCGCGTGTCGGGGTGGTTATTATGGGGGTGGATGTTTCTACTTCCATGGATTCGGCTGCGCGTACGTACGAGTGCCCTTCTCGCCGGCGTGACCTTTCAGTGCGGTTTCGCGGGGGACCCTCAAGAAGCACTGGCCTGCGCGCCCGGATATCTGGCCCCTGCAGGGCCCCCTGAAGCCGCGCAACTATCGTTTAACCAATCCCCATCCCCATCCTCATCCCCTTCGAGCCCAGTTGGGGATACAACCCTTGAACCCGAAGGGAACGGCCCATGTCCCCATCTAGGGGGGCAAATCGGCCAGTGGGGCCCAGGCCACGCCGCTGGGGATGGGGTTCGGTGGAACGCTGCTCCACTCTTGCCTCTGGTCACTCCTGCGTGCAGCCGAAGGGATACGTGTCAGGGGGGGAAAAAACACACAGACACAATTAATCGTCCACTCCCAGGAATATATGGGAAAATATGGGAAGTGGGGGGGAAGACAAAAACCCAGAAAATATTAGAAAATATGTGGAATCCTGTTATTTGTGTGTATTTATTTGTGTGTCCCAGGGCCCCTTCAAAGTGCGCCGCTCGTGACCTCAGCAGCGCTTGGGCGAAGAGAGCTGTGCCCGTGCGCACCGCTCTTGGCCTGGGCCCATCCTGGGCCCGGGATCGGTGCACACATGCCTTCCTGGCCAGGGCAGGAGAGGGCATATAGAGAGTCGAGACTCAGGAGGGAAAGAAACACACAGACACAATTATTCGTCGATTCCCAGGAAGATATGGGAAAATATGGGAAGTGGGGGGGAGGACAAAAGCCCAGAAGATATGGGGAAATGTGGGGAATCTTTTTATTCGGGTGTATTTATTTGTGTGTCCCAGTTCCCCTTCAAAGACTGATGGTAAGGATGCGTCGTAAGGAGATGCAAGCCCCTTACCCTTGGACGCCCGTGTCGAAGCTCTCCCGGGCGGGGCTTGCCGTCGAGAGCGGTCGAGGACGGGCCGAGGAGGCAAGGATGCAAGGGGGGTACCCTTTGGGAAGTCGCTCATCCTTGCTATCGGTTTCGACGGTATGCACCGTTCCAGGGTTCAGGATGGGTCTGGCCAGAGTCGGTGTACAGTCAACGCGCCTAGTAAGGACGCGCGCCTTCATCTAGGGTGCCCTCGTGTCCTTGCCGCTGCGGCCCGTCCTTTGACGTTGTCACTGGTCGCCCGTCGCCCAGAAAATCCCAACTTCGGCCTCCATGGGTCTTGCGTCCTTGCCATGAAGTCGGGTATCCCTCTACAGGAGGAAAATTCCAAAATAGTCAAAAGAAAGTCTGGGGACGATTTTTTTGCCCGGAAAGGGCTGAGGCCCAAGGTTCTCTTTTAGTGGGTTTACCCTTGGGTTTGACTTGAGGTGGGCCGGCGAACTGCTTCTGCGATAAATATCGAGGTCGAGGTGGGCCGGCGAATCAAACTTTGAGTTTGTCTCGAGCGAAACGCTTGTTTTTCAGAATTTGTTGAGGATGTCTCGAGCGAAACGCTTGTTTTGTCTTATAGATTGTCCTCTGCTGGAGACCTGAATTCAGAGGATCTCTCAAGTGAAATGCTTGTTTTCACGTGCCCAGGTCTTGAGGATGTCTCGAGCGAGACGCTTGGTTTCACGCCTCCAGGTTGCCCAGGCAGAGGTCTAGCGCCAGGATTTGGTGAGGACGTCTCGAGCGAGACGCTTGGTTTCACGCGTCCTCGTCGCCCAGGCGGATGTCTAGCATGAGGATGTGTTGCGGAAGTCTCGATTGAGATGCTTGTTTTCACGTGTCCAGGTCGCCCAGGCGGATGCCTAGCATGAGGATGTGTTGAGAATGTCTCGAGAGATACGCTTGTTTTCACGTGTCCAGGTCGCCCAGGCGGATGTCTAACATGAAGATGTGTTGAGGATGTCTCGAGCGAGACGTTTGCTTTCACGTGTACAGGTCGCCCAGGCGGATGTCTAGAATGAGGATGCGTTGAAAATGTCTCGAGCGAAACGCTTGTTTTCACGTGCCCAGGTCACCCAGGCGGACGTCTCACATGAAGCTGTGTTGAGGATGTCTCGAGCGAACCACTTGTTTTCACGTGTCCAGTTCGCCCAGGCGGATGTCTAGCATGAGAATGTGTTGAGGATGTGTTGAGCAAAACGCTTGTTTTCACGTGTCCAGGTCGCTCAGGCGGATGTCTAGCATGAGGATTTTGACAGGATGTCTCGAGCGAAACGCTTGTCCCCAGCACGTTCCGTAGCGCGTCCCCTTGGCACGTCCCGCGGTGCGTCCCCATGGCACGTCCCCTGGCACGTCGCCTGGCGCGTCCCTTGGGACGTTTCGCGGCGCGTCCTCCTGGCATGTCCCCCTGTCAATTAGCTCTGGGGCAGCTACTATATGTCAGGCAGCTCGAGCTTAAGATCCAGATCAGTTCGGTCAGGACTCGGATGCAAAGGAGGACTCGATCCACGACCCTATAGAGCACAATCGCGGCATGGCACATCGCAATTCAGCACGGCGCAGCACAGCACAGACTTCGGCACGGTACATCAAGATCGATACACTCAGCATTGCAACTTGGCACGTTCCTTAGCACGTTCCGTGGGGCGTCCCTTGGCGAGTCTCCCTGGCACGTCGCGTGGCGCGTCCCCTGGTACATCCCGTGGCACATCCATTGGCACGTTCCGTAGCGCGTCCCCTTGGCACGTCCCGCGGTGCGTCCCCATGGCACGTCCCCTGGCACGTCGCCTGGCGCGTACCTTGGGACGTTTCGCGGCGCGTCCTCCTGGCATGTCCCCCTGTCAATTAGCTTTGGGGCAGCTACTATATGTTTAGGCAGCTCGAGCTTTCCAAATCAGTTCGGTCAGGACTCGGATGCAAAGGAGGACTCGATCCACGACCCTATAGAGCACAATCGCGGCATGGCACATCGCAATTCAACACGGCGAAGCACAGCACAGCCCTCGGCAGGGTACATCAAGATCGATACACTCAGCATTGCATTTGCCCGTCACCAAATCAGGTGTCTTTGAAAACGCTGCCACGCGTTACATTTCTATATTCCTTTCCGGGTTTGTGGGTCGATCATGTTATTATTGTTGACTATGTTTCGACATTTTTTTTGTAAAAAAACAATTTCAACCCTAATCCGCCTGTAGTGGGACACGCCCGACCTAACCTTACCACCCGTCCTTAACACACGTTTTGACTGTACACCTCGGCCACGCGCAGAAGCACCCTTGCTTCTGAGAAGCCCTCCCCCCTCCCCCATCCCTCCACCCGGTCTGGCCCGTTTCGCTTGAGACGCACTTGCTGGTCTGGCCCGTTTCGCTTGAGACACACTTGCAATGCTGGGCTCCGAGATGTCGCGCGCGAGGTGCTCCGGCGCGTTTCTCTGGAGACATCCTCGTATGGGGCCTTCCCCCGGGACGAGTTCTGGATCCCGAGTCGTTTTCTGACGGTCCCGTGGCCCGTGGAGGGCCTCGAGCGCCCGCAGACGGCGGCAAAACCTCAGGACCCGTTTCCCTCAGGAGGAGGAGGAGGAGGAGAAGAAGGAGGAGGAGGGGCATGATGATGAGGAGGAAGAGGAGGAGGAGGAGGAGGAGGAGGAGGAGGAGGAGGAGGAGTAGGAGGAGGAGGAGGAGGAGGGGAAGGGGGAGGAGGAGGGAGGCGGAGGAGGAGGAGAAGGACCAGGACCCATATCCCCCACGGCGACTTGTGCGTGCCGCCAGACTGCCGCGAACACCCCCTCGGCACTGCCCCTCCGATGGGCCTCCTGTGCCGCCCGCCCCTGGTGCTGCTGCTCGCCCTCGGCGCCGCCCCGGCGGCGGTGCACGCCCGCGGTGCCCTGCACGCCCGCCTGGCCGCGGAGCCCGCTGAACCGCCAGCCGAAGTGCTCACGCGGGAGGACCGCCTGGAGGAGGAGGAGGAGGAGGAGGAGGAGGAGGAGGAGGAGGAGGAGGAGGACGGGCCGCCTAAGCCCTTCGGAGAAACCTTCCAGGGGTCGTATGTAGATGGGGTCGCTGGATAGCTCCGCATCGCCAATGCATCGCCGATGCATCGGCGATACATCGTCGGTACATTGTCGACGTCGGTGGCGCCTCGGCGACGCATTGGCCGAAGTATTATGGGGTCGGGGCGAGGGGGGCGCGCTGGCTGGCGGGAGAGGGGGCGGTGGGCTGGCTGCGGAGGGGGGCCGAGGGCGGACCAGTAGTAGTCGTAGTCGTAGTCGTGGAGGGTGTGCACGCCCGGACGGCGGCCCTCGTCGACCTACCAGAAGACGAAGCGCACCACACCGCCACGGCGTATCCGCCAAGAGGAGGGGAGGGAGGGAGGAGGGCGGAGGGGGGAAGGGGGAGGGGGGGGAGCGGAGGGAGAGGGCGGCGAGAGAGGGGGGAAGGGAGGGAGGAGGGATGAGGGGGGGGAGGGGGAAGGCAGGGAGAGGGCGGAGGGGGAGTAACAAAAAGCAGGCGGATATCACTCACGTGTCGAAACACGGGGACACCCAAAAGCACGTTATTGCCCAGGGTCCGAAAGACGGGGCGGGGCGGAAGCGGTGCCAACCTCGACCTAGGTAGGGAGAACCAAGAAGTACTCTTCAGTCTGGATACACATGCGCGCTGAAGTTCTGATGCCCTCCATCCATTTAATAAGTGGCGCACTTCCTCCATCCGTGTCAGATCACTAAGAAGTACCCCTCGTCTGGATACACATGCGCGCTGAAGCTCTGATGCCCTCCATCCACGTAGTACTGGGCGCACGCCCTCCACCCGTGTAATATCTGGCACTCACCACAGGGAGGAGACGAATTACTCTTTGAACAGCGAGCTACGCGCACACTACGCACACAAAGGGACGCACGCACACAACGCACACAAAGGCACGCACGCACATTGCACACTGCGCCTACCTTCCGCTCTCCCCACCCTAACGACGTCCCCACCCATGCAGATCGCAATAAGCCTGGCCCCTCCTCGGTTGCATCACATGCCAACAGGGTACAAGACCCACACCCAAAGAGGCCTGGTGCGAGACCAGACCCCGGCGCAACGGGAGGCGGCGCTGGCAACCAAGCGAGGGCGCTGGCAATCAGAGCTCGCAGCACGGCGACCGACCCAGTCAGAGCACCCCTTCACCCCGAGAAAAACTCAAGCAAATGTACCCAACAGTTCGTTTATCGCTGGCGTCCCTGGTACCTTGGCACAGCCTCTTAAGGTCGACCCCTTAGGACCCACAAAAAGACACCCGAAAGAAACCAGGCTCCTGAACACTCCGCTGGGAGTGCGGTGGTCAGGCGCCCCCCAGCGCTAACGACTAGTGTGAAGCCAGGGGAGGTGTCCGGAGACGTCAACCGCCCCTGGTCCAGGGACTGTCGAGTGATGCCCCCCCGCCCTGACAAAAGCCTAGCACGAAACAGGAGAAAAACAAGGACACCTGGGGCACAGTGTGCACAGCGGACCAGAGGTCTACTCGCTGCGCATTGCATGGGTTTGCCGCGTCGGTTCTCCCGCAGAACACATATACCGTTTAATTGACTCCGCCACCCCGAGCCGACCCGTTGCCCCCCGACCCGGCCGGGCGACCTGGACATCCATGGGTCGACGAAAAGAAAAGCCCGTTCCTGGGGTAGCGCAGAAGCTCCTGTCCGACTCGACGGTCTGTGGGCGCGCGGGTCGAGATGGCTAGTCTCGACCCGACGCCGCGGCCCCAGGAGCAGGACGTGGAGCGGTGAGGATCACGGGCGCGCCCCAATCCGGGGGATTCGAAGCGAATCCACGGGTTCACCTACACCCAAGCGATGCAACGCGCCTCAGGACAGACAGTATATATATATATATGTATATATATATATATATATATATATATGTATATATAGAATCGGAAGATCATGCAGAACACCTAGATAGACCTTCCCCCGCAAGGACATACACCTCGTGGAAAGATCGTTGCGGCCTCAACCCAGTTGGACTCGAAAACCGCACTTACACACCCTTACACGGCGCACATAGCTATCACGATCGATCGTGCACATCACGCATGAGCACGTATCGTTGGCACACTTCGGAAAATGAGCTCTACGAACAAATATTGCATGACCCCGCCGCCCGTGCCCGCCGCCCCGGCGGAGGGGGCGCGCTGGCGGCTGCGGAGCAGGGCGGAGGGGGGACCGGTGCCGTGCCGAAATGAAGTGGTCGGAGTTCTAAACGCAATGTGCAAGAACATAAGGCAATTGGATCCTACAGCCCTCCACAACACCAAACGCAAGTTTTTCTAGACCCCCTCGCCCCCCAATGTCAATATTCGGCGACGAGCGCATCGCGGCCCGCGGTCTCCGCATATAAGCTAAGCTACATAGATTTGTAGATTCACACCGTTATACATGTTGTGTATTCTTGTATGTATGTTTGTATGTAGTTTATGTATGTATGTGTGTCTGTCTGTCTGTCTGTCTGTTTGTATGTATGCATGCATGCATGCTTGCATGCATGTTTGTATGTATGTCTGTCTGTATGTATGTATGTATTCATGCATGCATGCATGCATGTCTGCATACATGTATGTATGTATGTATGTATGTATGTATGTATGTATGTATGTATGTGTATGTATGTATGTATGTATGTATGTATGTATGTATGTATGTATGTATGTATGTATGTATTATGTATGTATGTATGTATGTATGTATGTATGTATGTATGTATGTATGCATGCATGCATGCATGTATGTATGTATGTATGTATGTATGTATGCATGCATGTATGTATGTATGTATGTATGTATGTATGCATGCATAGATGTAAGTATGTGGATGCGTGTGTCTCGACTCAAGTTCGAATCACATTCGATTTGAATTCGGCTCAGGTCGACGGGCGTTCGACGCAGCATCGACGCATTAGAGGAGCGAGTGGCTCCCGGAAGGTCCCCAGAACGAGCAGCTGTCAGCACAGCAGCCAGGCCGTCGTTGGTGGGTAGAGGTTGCCCGACGCTTGCGCAGGTTTTCATAGGCTTTCTGGCCTCGGGGTGCTTGCCAGCAGCTGCGGCTCGCCGAGGGCGTTCTGCGGGTGTCCGAATCTTCTCGAACAGCTGCCCGAGATCCGAGACCCGAAAGCCAGACGACTTGCCTCGCGACAAAAAAAATAGCCTCGCGAAGGACCCAACCATATGCAGTTGTGAGTACCGTCTTTGTGAGCAACGCATTCGGTGGGGTTCCCTATAGGGCCACGAAACGCTGCCCTGGGTGCGGGAACCGCATGCGACCCCCCCCACTGGGGCCTTCGGTGGAGCTCCCCATGGGGCCACGAAGCGCTGCCCTGGGTGGGGGAGAGCATGCGGGCACCCCCACTGGGGCCTTCGGTGGAGCTCCCTATGGGGCCACGAAGCGCTGCCCTGGGTGGGGGAACCGCATGCGGGCACCCCCACTGGGGCCTACGGTGGAGCTCCCCATGGGGCCACGAAGCGTTGCCCTGGGTGGGGGAGCCGCATGCGGGCACCCCCACTGGGGCCCACGGTGGAGCTCCCCACGGGGCCACGAAACGCTGCCCTGGGTGGGGGAACCGCATGCAACCCCCCTCTGGGGCCATCGGCGGAGCTCCCCATGGGGCCACGAAACGCTGCCCTGGGGGGGGGGAACCGCATGCGACCCCCCCCACTGGGGCCATCGGCGGAGCTCCCTATGGGGCCACGAAGCGCTGCCCTGGGTGGGGGAACCGCATGCGACCCCCCCGCTGGGGCCATCGGCGGAGCCCCCTATGGGGCTACGAAACGCTGCCCTGGGTGGGGGGACCGCATGCGAACACCCCCACTGGGGCCTTCGGCGGAGCTCCCCATGGGTCTACGTAGCGCTGCCCTGGGTGGGGGAACCGCATGCGACCCTCGCCACTGGGGCCATCGGCGGAGCTCCCTATGAGGACACGAAGCGCCCTGGGTGGGGGAACTGCATGCGACCCCCCCCCCACTGGGGCCATCGGAGGGGCTCCCAACGGGGCCACGAAACGCTGCCCTGGGTGGGGGAACCGCATGCGACCCCCCCCCACTGGGGCCATCGGCGGAGCTCCCTGTGGGGCCACGAAACGCTGCCCTGGGTGGGGGAACCGCATGCGACCCCCCCCCGGCCATCGGCGGAGCTCCCTATGGGGCTACGAAGCGCTGCCGTTGGTGGGGGAACCGCATGCGACCCCCCCCACTGGGGCCATCGGCGGAGCTCCCTATGGGGCCACGAAGCGCTGCTCTGGGTGGGGGAACCGCATGCGCCCCCCCCCCACTGGGGCCATCGGCGGAGCTCCCTATGAGGCCACGAAGCGCTGCCCTGGGTGGGGGAACCGCATGCGACCCCCCCACTGGGGCCATCGGCGGAGCTCCCTATGGGGACACGATAGGCTGCCCTGGGTGGGGGAACCGCATGCGACCCCCCCCACTGGGGCCATCGGCGGAGCTCCCTATGGGGCCACAAAGCGATGCCCTGGGTGGGGGAACCGCGTGCGAACACCCCTACTGGGGCCATCGGCGGAGATTCCTTATGGGGCCATCCCAGGTGCCCATCCCATCCCAGGTGCCCATTATCGGCAGTCTGGCTTGGGCCCATCCCAGGTGCCGCGGGCTGCCCTGTCGCACCTATCCCGGCGACAGGCGCAGGGAGTGGACGTGACGGCTCCGACGGCGACGGCGAGGGAGCCGGCGCACCCGCCACGCGCGGCAGCGCCGAGGGAACGGAGGCGACGCGAGGCTGCTGCGCCGCCGTGCAGCATCCGCCGACGCTCCCCACATCGCTCGCTGGTGGCAGCCTGCCGCCTCTGCCATCGGTGCCAGACTTCCCGAAGCTCGATGGCGATGCCACTGGCGACGTGAAGGTTGGCGTGCGCTTCAACCCAGAGGTGGAGTGCAAGCAGTGCTCAGCGGCGGCGCCGGCGGAGGCGCCTGCAGCTGCGACCGCACGTGGTGCTCCTGCGCGCGAGGGCGCCGGGAACAGTCAGGAAGTTCTTCAGCATGATGGTGCCGAGAACCTGGCCGAATGCGATGAGCTCACCTTCGGCGCCGCCTCGGACCTATTGGCCCAACTCGATGCCGATGGTGCCGCCCATCTTCCACTTTTTCTCCGGGATTCGCGCGAGGTGACCATGGAGTCCAGCTACGACCCGCTGGTCCTCACGGCCGAGCCGAGCACGCAGTTCCGGAGCCTCTTGCGGCATGCCGTGGGTGTGTCGCGCCAGGCTGGTCTCGCTGTCGAGCCCAAGAGTCTGGTGATGTGCATGCTGAGGGAAGGCGTCATTGAAGTGGCCTCTGCCGCGAAAAAGGCAACTTTCCAGAGCATTTTGGAGCAGGCAGCGCCCGCGTCCTTCGTCTTCATCTCGGTCCAGACGACCAGTGATGCCTGAGTTTTCAGCCTGCCTGGTCATGCCAATAAATTAATGGCCCGAGTTTGTCGTAACGGCCCGCGGCCGTTCGGAGCGCAGGATTGCCCACTGGCCGCCCTGCTGCCCATGCTCGCCGTGCCATGGCAGCGACGCGCCCACTGACCAGCGCTGCTCCTGGCCTCCCATTGCTTTTACTAGTTGCCCAGCTGTGTGGCCGGATTCGGCTCGGATTGCTGGTGCCGGGTCGCCCTGGCGGCCGTCGTCGTCGCGGCTGGATTCGGCTTGTCTCGCTGGCGTCGGGTCGTCCCCCGTTGGCCCTCGTCGCCACGGACGGTGTAGTGCTCTGCACGCGCCCGATGGCTTCCCACAAACGTGGATCGCCGTCAATGATAAAAACGGGGTCGCCCCCGTTTTTGGCACGCACGCCTTTTTCGAAACTTGTCTTGAGACGCTTCGCGCAACCCTTGCTAAATAAAAAATAAAATAATAAAAAATATGGGGCCACGAAACTCTGCCCTGGGTGGGGGAACCGCATGCATGCGACCCCCCCCACTGGGGCCTTCGGTGGAGCTCCCTATGGGGCTGCGAAGCGTGTGAGAGGTGTGCCGAAAGCAGAGGCAAGGAGGGGGAGGAGGAAGGAGGGAGGGGGCAGCTGGAGGAACGCGGGGCGCTGTCTCTTCAAAACGAGGACCCAACAGCACAGGTTGGTTGGGAATGACGGATTGTTTGACGCCTCCAGCGGCCTCTGCCGGGCCCCGAGATCGTTAACAAAAGCGACCCGGGGGATGAAACGCCGTTCCCCGTGAAGTGATCGAGACTTTTGAGAGCCCACGTTCTGGGTCGCAGGCACAGTGCAGTCAAAGTTGTCTGAGATGTGTTCCGCTTCTCTCCTCCTCCTCTTCCTCCTCCTCCTCATCCTCTTCCCCCTCCTCCTCCTCCTCCTCCTCCTCCTCCTCCTCCTCCTTCTCCTCCTTTTCCTTTTCCTCCTCCTCCTCCTCCTCCTCCTCCTCCTCCTCCTCCGCCTCCCTTCTCCTTCATGCACGCCAGTGGGCGCCAGCTGGGCCAGAACGCGTCCATGCGCGCCCGCACAGACCCCGTCAGCAGGGAAAGGAGATCTCAACGCGCCTGGCAGGCCCCAACGTAGCTTCATGATGTGAGTGTGGCGTTAGACACATTTGAGACTTAGTAGTCATAGCCCAGTCCGGACCAGTCCTCCCCTCTCCCCTTCTTCGCTTCTCGCATTTTTCTGGCATCCGTTTCACGCGTTCGGGTGGCAGTGCGATTCGGTTCACAGTGCTTGGTGATGCGTGAGATGCTGCTCTGAGGATTAGGCTCCGTGGAAGCGACTGTCAACTTTTTTTTTTGACAAGGTCAACTGTGGTTTCAGATTGGGCTCGATGTTCCTTGTGACCTTCCGTGGGGCTTCCTTTGGCGGTCTTCGCACCTAGGCGTAACCAATAACACAATGGACTCTTTTTGGGAGTTCTAGGTCCGCTATGACACGCGTCCGCGGATAGAGAAACAGTCATCGCAGTTGGAAGGGATGGACGGGAGGGGTAGGATGTCAGACATGGCGCGAGCGCACCTAGCTTGCCTCCCCCCCTCCCCTCCCCCGCGTTCCCATCTGTGGTGGAGGACCTCATCTCATTGGGGATCTGGCCGCCGCCAGAGCCGGTGGGCGACGCCCCCGAGAAGAAGGACGGCTCCTACAGCTCCAAGGCCCGCGCTGCCCCGTCGCCTTCGTCGTCGATCGCGCCGATGCGTCGACGTCGACTGGTATGATTTTTTGAAGTCCGCGGCCCCAGAGGCCCCGACCGCTTCCCTGGGGTGAGGTTCTGGCCCTGGGGGGGGGCAGCTTTCTGACCCTGGGGGGGGGCAGTTTTCTGGCCCCGGGGGGTGAGGTTCTGGCCCCAGAGGTCCCGACCGCTTCCCTGGGGTGAGGTTCTGGCCCTGGGGGGGGGGCAGTGTTCGGTGGCCCCGCGGCCCGATCACGGGCCCAGGACGCCGGGGTCGAGGAGAGACGCCCAGGTTGGTTGGAGAAATCAGATCGTCGAGGATTTGGGTCGTCGATAGTTGACAGTCAAAAACCCTAACAAGGACGCGCGACTTTGCTCAGGGTGCCCTTGCGCCCTTGCTCTACCTTGCTCTTGCGTCCTTGGGGTTTTCGTCGTCCGCCGCCCCAAAATCCCAACTTCGGCTTCCAAGGGTCTTGCGTCCTTACCGCGCGTCCTTATTAGGGTTTTTGACTGTAGTTGCTCAATCGTGGACCCCTCGTGAACCACAGCCACCCAGCCCTCGTTGCCGAAGGCCGACGCAGACCGCCGAAGGCCGTCAGTCAGAGGACCGACGGGGACCGCCGAGGATGCCGCCGAGAGATCCGCCGGGAAGGCCGCCGAAGACCGCCGAAGACTTCGGCGGTTCCAAGATGGGGTCCTGAAGGATGGGGTCCTGGGGATAGTCGGGGACGGAAAAGAGGGGGGTGATGACTAGGGGGGGGTGCATATCATTGCGGGGGCCATGATACTTCCCCAGATTTCATGGCGCCTCGTCTTATTTCGTTACGTCCCTGGCCTCCCCGCTGGGCCGCGCACATGCCGCTGGTCATGATTTGCACCCCCCCCTCTTGGACGCCCCCCTCTTTGCCGCCCCCGAGATAGGACGGGGTCCAAGGGAGGATCTGCGTCGTGTGAAGCACCGCGTCCTCGGACCCCACCCCTCGGGGCCCCAGCTCTGAGGCACCGAGGGCCGCCCGAGGCAGATGGGCAGCCAGGGGTCCGTCGCAGCGCGGCAGAGGCGATCCGCACGCGCGCTCTGGTGGGCTGGGCTGTGACAGTCACGGATTGTCCGGCAGCAAGAGGGGGAGACGAGGGCGCAGCGCGGCCGCGGAGGGAGGCAGAGGATCAGGAGGGGAAAAAGCACACACAGACACAATAGATCGTCGATCCCCAGGAAGATGTAAGAAAATATGGGGAGTGGGGGGGAAGACAAAAAACCCAGAAAATGTAGGGGAAACATGGGGAATCCTGTTGCTTGTGTGTATTTATTTGCTTGTCCCAGGGCCCCGTCAGAACAGGAGGACACCTCGCAGCGCGAAGCACTTCGACCAGAGTGGCTGGCGGCCAGCCTGCGCTGATGCTGCCTGGCAGTGGGCGCGGGGCGGCAGGGCGGTCACACCCTGGCATGGTCAAGCACGTGCGATGGTTTTAAGTCGGGCCTGTCCCTCTACAGGAGGAGTATTCAGAAGTAGTCAAAACATAGTCTGGGGACGAGTGTTTGACTGTTTTTGAACATTTTTGGTGCATTTTTGGGGTACTTTTAAGTTTGTCGCCCAATATCCCCCTGTATGGGGGACAGGCCCGACCTAACGATTAGTTGCTTTGCCGCTCTGCGCTCCCTGGAGGCCTCTCCAGATGCCCCCGAGGGGCCTCGCGCCGACCTCCGGAGGGCCCTCCGCAGAGCTCTGCAGGGATCGGGGGTGGACAGGACCCCCACCCTCAGGTCGGGCGTGTCCCCCTACAGGCGGGCTTTGGACGAAGAGTACAAAAAACAGACATGCCTAAACAGATTCAAACATGCAAAAAAAACGTCCCCATACTCTTTTTTTTATTTTTCAATGTTTGATATTCCCCCTGTAGAGGGACAGGCCCGCACCCTGAAGCGTCGATTCGTGAATTGGCCGTTTCCGTCCCTCGAGAGGGCGCCGCGGCCGTCTTTCTCCAGGCTTGCGCCCGCCAGGGCTTGGGCCCGAGGTCTTTTTCACCGAACCACGTTTTGCTCGAGGGGGTTCTGTCCATCCCCGAGGGGCTGAGACACCGACACCCGTCTTCCAGGGGCCTGGAGCGGACGACGGCGGCAGCAACGACACACAAGGCATTCAAGCAAGGGCCCCTCGCCTTCGAGGGCCGAAGGAGGTGATCTGTCTCGTCCTCGGCGGCAGGCGGTGGAAGGCCGGCGGCAGGCGGCGGAGGTAAGACGAGGCCGCCTCCGCCGGCGGAAGCCAACGGAAGCTCGGCGGAAGTAAAGTCGGGTGTGGCCAGGACCCCGGTTAAGGGGAGCCGGTTAGTGATTGGGCCCCGGATCCCAACAGATGCATTGGAATCACTAAACCTGGCTTGCCGTAGCTGGTGCTTTTCGGGTGATGGCAGTTCCGGTTAGTGGAACGGTGCGGGGGGGGGGGGCGCTCCCCAGTACACATCACTAAACCAGGTCCCACTAAACTTATGTCGGGCGTGTCCCCCTACAGGGGGATTTTCGACGAAAAATGAAAAAATGAAACATATTCCAAAATACCCCCCAAAGGTATATATATATATACACATTTATATACTAATTATATATATAAAAGTCTCCAGACTATTTGTGGACTATTGTTTAAAATTATTTTTGGGGTATGTTTTATTTTTCGTTGAAAATCCCCCTGTAGGGGGACAGGCCCGACTTAACACTAGACCAAGTTCTGCCAACGCCTGATCAAGATCTGCCTCCCAAGAGATGGTAAGGTTTTTGGGTTCAGGCTTTTTTTTTGGTGAGGTTTTTTGGGTTCAGGTAAGGTAAGAGATGGGTCGGGCCAAGAGAAGGTAAGTTTTTTTTTTTTTTTTTTGATTTTTGGGTCGGGCCAAGAGATGGTAAGGTTCTCGGGTCCAGTTTTTTTTTTTGTAGACCCGCCACGTCTGCGCATGCTTCGGCGTGGTGCGGGTCCTCCCGGGGCGCCCTCCTGGCCACGGCCGGAGCGGCCTCGAAAAATTCAGGCGGGAGCGCTCTCCGCGGCAGGCCGTCGCCCCGTCCGTGCAGGGAGGGAGGGAGAGCAGCAGGAGAGACTTGTCTTTCGATCTGCAGGGCGAGAGCGAGCCCCTTCCGCCGAAAGCTCGGCGGGACGCGCCCAGCTTTCATCGGCAGAGAAGGGGTGGGAGCGGGCGGGGCCGTAGCAGGAGAGACAGGCAAGGGCGCCAGTCGAGAAGCAGATTCCCCTCGCAGCCCTCCGGGCGATCAGAGGGGATAGTGGTGGGAAGGAAAAGCGGATGATGATGATGATGATGATGATGATGATGATGCTGATGATGATGTTGATGATGATGCTGATGATAGTTGTGGTGGTGGTGGCGGTGGTGATGATGATGATGATGATGATGATGATCCTGATGAGGATGAGGATGATGATGAGGATGAGGATGAGGGTGAGGGTGAGGGTGAGGATGAGGATGATGATGACGATGATGATGATGATGAGGAGGAGGAGGAGGAGGAGGAGGAGGAGGGGGATAAGCAGGAGGAGGCGGCGGCGGTCTCACCATGTGATCCAGGTCCTGATGATGCTGATGATGCTGCTGATGATGATGCTGATGATGATGATTATGATGTTAATGCTGATGCTGATGATGCTGATGATGATGCTGCTGATGATGATGATGAGGAGGAGGAGGAGGAGGAGGACAATCAAGGGCAGTCAGGTAGAAGAGGCGAGAATGTGGATGAGGAGGAGTATAATAAGACTCATACAACATTACGAAGACACATACGAGAAACCAATTTCACTTTTTCATATTACGAATAGTAATAATACTACTAATAATAATGTAAGAAAGTAGAGGGAAATAATGGACGAGGAGGGAACACGAGGAGGAGGGAGTAGGAGGAGGAGGAGGAGGGAGGAGGAGGAGGAGGAGGAGGAGGAGGAGGAGGAGGTAGACGACGACGACGACGACGACGAAGGCTTGGAGGAGGAGGAGGAGGAGGAGGAGGAGGAGGAGGAGGAGCAGGAGGAGGAGCTTGTTCGACCGTGCTGTGGACAGGCGTAGTCTGCCTTGCAGCGTCCTCCTCCCCGACACCCGGGCGGGGCGCGGCCGGGCGCGACCCGAAGGCGGAAGCGTGCTCGGCGTGCAAGCATGCGGCCACGGGCTCCTGCGCCATGTACAGGACCAGCGTTCTGGACGCCCGGACTTGGTACGGAAAGAATGAGTACGATGCCCAACAGCAGTTCCTGTTCATTTTGGACAGGACTCGCTGTCCGCGAAGGAGGGGCCTGTGTCTATTCGAGGCAGGAGGCCGCCCGTCCAACAGCGGCCGCTGTTGGTTTGGGGCAACATTTGTTGTTGGGCATTGTACCCATTCTTTCCGCACCCATTTCCGGCGTCCAAAAGCGTGAGAGCCTCCTCGCTTCCCTCCTCGAAGTCCTCGCCGTCGTTCCCAGACCTCCTCGGGGGGGTCGAAGCTCTCACGGAGATTTTCGGGATACCTCGAACGTTTTTTGGGGACCCAGGGTGGTGTCCATCGGCTGCGCCTCGCCGAGAGCGTTCAAGGGGTGCTGGAATCGTCCCGAGCAGCCGCTGGAGACCCGAGTTCTGACCCGACAGGCGGACGACGACTGCGCTGTTGTTTCTCAGTTCTCCCCCTCTGGGGGCCCCTGGCGGGACCCAGGGGCCATCACAAAAGTTATCCGGGATAGAACATCAATGCAGAGGAAGGAGTCCAGTCCTTTTGGGTGTCTGCGTTTTGAATGGACCGAACCTTCGGAGGTTGATAGACCTCCTACCCTGACACGTCGATTGGCGAATTGGCCGTTTTCGGTTCGCGAGAGGGCGTTGGGGCCGTCATTTTTGCGGGTCCCGCGGCGGTGGCCCAGGCGGCGGCCTTGGCGGCGGAGATGGTGGGGCGGCGGAGACGGCGATTCGTCCGAGGAGGACCCCTTCCCCTCGATGGTAGTAGGCCTTAGCAGCGCTGCGTGGAGAAGCCGACAGGGGCCCCCCCTGGACCCGGCGGTCCAGGATTTTTCCAAGAGTTCTTGAAGCATCCGAACCTCTCCGAGAAGCCCACTGCCCTCTTAGAATCCGCGGACGGTATGTCTGCACCGTGCCGCGTTGACATTTCCCGAGGTTCATAACGAGTTGGTCGGCCTTAGGAGCCAGCCAGCTGTGCACCGTGCCGCGTTGGCGTCTCCCGAGGCGTTGTCGACTTTCGCCCCAGGAATGGAACGGTGCATAGTTGATCGGCCCCACGAGCCAACACAAACTATGCACCGCACCGCGTTGGAGCGAGACTTATAGGGAGTTCAAGCATGGTACGGTGCATAAGCTCCGCTCTCATATAGAAGAACGCCGCTTTGCGAGCGAGAAAAGGTTAATCCCCGGTACAATGGTTCAATTTCCGGGAAATGGGTTCAATCCCTGGACAGATTTCCAGTATGTATGTATGTATGTATGTGTGTATGTATGTATGAATATATATATATATATATATATATATATAGATGGAAAACCTTACTAGCCTTCCTTTCTGCCTGAAAGATCTTCTGGGGGCCTGCCCGGGCCTGTTGGAAGCTTCTTGAGCGTCCCGGAGGCCTTCTTGGGCGTCCTGGTGGCCTTTTTGTGCGTCCTGGAGGCCCTTCTTGGGCGTCTGGAGGCCCTCTTTGGCCTTTCCTCCCTTTCCTCCTCCTCCTCCTCCTCCTCCTCCTCGTCTTCCTCCTCCTCGTCTTCCTCCTCCTCCTCCTCCTCCTCCTCCTCCTCCTCCTCCTCCTCCTCCTCCTCCTCCCCTCCTGTCCCTTCCTGTCGCCATTTTGGCTCGCGGCCAGTCGCGCGGGCCTCGCGAGATCGGGGCCCCGCCCGTTGCGGGAGGCGCGCGGTGCGCAGCGATGACTTGCAATTCGCTGGTAAGCACACCTACCAGCACAGGTACCAGTACACCTCCCAGTAAAGCTACCACTCCAAACACATCTACCGCCACAGGTAACAGTGCAGCTCCCAGTAAAATTACCACCGCAGCTCCCAGCAAAGCTACAACGACAGCTACCGCTACCGATAAAGCTGCCACGTCTTCTACCATTACACCATTACAGCCACCACAACAGTTACCAAAACAACTCCAAGTGCTGCTACCAGCACAGGTACCCGCACGGCCACCACTGCAGGTGACACTACAGCTCCCAGTAAAGCTCGTAGTACATCTACCATGGCAGGTACCACTCGTTACCACGACAAGTGCCAGTGCAAGTACCACTACACTTGCCACGACAGGTACCAGTTCGGCTACCGTGAAAGCGACTAGTACAGGTACCAGGTCAGCTACCGCTACAACTACCACGGCATGTACTAGTTCATGTACTACCACAGCTACCACTACATCTACCACTGCAGCTTCCAATGCAATTACCAGCATAGCTACCAATGCAGCTACCACTACGGATGCCACTACATCTACCAACGCAGCTACTGCCCCAGCTCACACTGCAGTTCCTACTACAGCATCCACTACAACGGCTGATCCCGCAAAAGAAGCGAAAAGTCTAAAGATGAGTAGCGTGTTTGTTGTTGTGCCACTACTTCTCCTAGGCCAGCCAGAACGGTTCAATCCCCGGATGAAGTTGCCCAGGAAACCCACGCGCCGCCAGCAGCGTGACTCCTGGATTTCTGGATGTCAGATGAGCCACGGCTATATACAGTTCTATAGCAGCTGCCGAAAGATGCGAAGGGTCGGCCACCCAGAAGAGTTAAATCCCCGGACGACTTCCGGGGATGGAACCGCCCAGCCGGCAATTGAACCGTTCCTTCTTGGGGATTCAACCCATCGCCTCTGCGAGCCGCCAGCTGCGTCTGGTCCTGCCGCTGCTGCCCGCTGCGGCTCTTGCTGCTGCTGCTGCTGCCGTTGGGCCGCCGGGCGCCTGCCGCCCCGCCCGCGGTTTCGGGGGCCTAGCGGGGACCTTCGTTTTGAAGGAACGCGCGAGAAAGCCAATGAGTGAGCGAATGAAGCGATGAAGATCATCACTCTTGCAGCGAGGGAGGGAAATGCACGAGATATGAGCGCGTGATCGACGCTCCCGGCCGCGCCGTTGCCTCACGCAACATCGAACATCTTCGGGCCCTCCATGAGAGGGCGTAGCAATAACGTAGCACCTCGCAGATGCGGATAAGAGCGAGGGGGCGGTTGGGACGTCGGCAGTTTACGAGACTCTCGAGAAGCCCGCCGCAGGCGCCAAAGTTTCACAAATTAGTCAACGAGCCCGCCGCAGGCGCCGAATTTTCCTTAAACCGATGTGGGTAGGTCGCGGGTGGGTCGCACATGGGTTGCGGGTGGGTCGCACATGGGTTGCGGGTGGGTCGCGGGTGGGTCGCGGGTGCCGAGGGCAGAAACTCCACCCCAGAATCGCCCCGACAAGCGAAGCCGTTTAGCAAACGCACGCGAAGAAATAATCGAAATGGCAGGGCTGTTTAGTCAACGCCCAGGGCCGTTTAGTAAACGTCAATTGTCGGGTCCGGGTGGTTTTGCTTCCCTTGAGGATGGGTCGCGGGGTGGGTCGCGGGTGGGTCGCGGGGTGGGTCGCGAGTGGGTCGCGGGCGCAGGTCGCGGGTGGGTCGCGGATGGGTCGTTGGGTGGGTCGCGAGTGGATTGCGGGGTGGGTGGCGGGTGGGTCGCGGGTGAATCGTGGGTTGGGTCGCGGGTGGGTCGCGGGGTGGGTCGCGGGGTGGGCTGCGGGGTGGGTCGCGGGGCGGGTCGCGGGTGGGACGACGACGACAAACATCAACAACAACACCAACAACACCAACAACAACAACGCAACAAACATAATTCTCACCACGAATTCTTTATCCAGCTACGCACCCAGGGATAAACAATGACCGTTCGGCCCCCTCACTCTGATGATCTTCGCGAGCGGGATGGTCTGCATTCAGCAAGCGCCTGGCCTGGGACTCGTTGGCGACTTGCCGCCACTTGTCCCCGTGCGAGTGGCTGGGCAATCGGCCGCCATGCTTGCCCCTGACCCACCGCTCGAGAGCACTCCACTTCGCTTCGACGGCATGTGTGGAGAAGCCTCTCTCGTTCAGAACCTCCCCCGCGTCGTGATTCACCGGCTCATGGGGAAGGGCCGTTTCGGTCAGGCCGCGGGATCGGCGCAGCGCTTTCGCGGCGGACATCGCCGCGCCCCACTTGTCGGGCACGAGCGCGCGCCCCTTCTGCGTGTTCGGCAGGCTGATATTATGTGGCATCTCCTTGTGGCCGCGCGGCTCGCCGTCGGCCGCGTCGTCGGGGTGCCGCGAGATTCGGAAGAGAGAGTGGGTCCGAGACTTCCCTTGCAAGATCGCGCCCCAGATCCACAACTGTTCTGCGGCCTGGCGCGCTTGTTCAGTTTGCCGGGTTTTCGCTTGTTCAGGAAGGATTCGTCCGCTATGAGCGCCCTCTTGTGGATGGTCTTCTTCGCCTGCTTTGCGAACTTGCGGCCGACGGTCTTCTTCGTGGTTGAGCGCTTCATGGTCGCGGTCTTCTTCATGGGGGGTTTCATTGCCGAGGCGCGCTTGGACTTCGTGGCGACTGGGCTCGCGGCCGCCGGCTTTCTAGCCGCGATGCCCCCCTGCTTCTCGAACGAGTTCTTGATCGTCTGCGGCGGCGCCGCGTCGCGCCAGTCGCTGGTCGCCCGGCGGAATTCGGGAATCCGGGCGTCGACGACCTTGTGGTCGATGCGGGAGAGCTCCTGCAGCATTATCTTGCGGGTGTCATCTGCAATCCGCATTGCCAAGCAGCCCACCTTGTCCATCCAGTAATACATGCGAGCGTCCTGGAAGAATGTGAAGTTACACGCGCACGCCTTGTCGCCATTGCACTCCGAGCACCCATCCTCGCAGCTTGGGCCGCGCCGGCGAAGCCTGCCCGCGCGGCCACCCTCTGCGTTGAAAGAAATTCTGCATGGGTGCTCGCGCGACGGGAAGGTGTACTCCTTGGGGGCCAGGCCCACTACCTGGGCGACAACGAACGCGCGGCGCGCCTCTGCGTCGGCGAGCGGGGGCGCGTTCTTGACTGGCGCGAACCTGACCTTCTCCAAGAGCTCCGACCGAGCACGCCCCTTCATGTTTTTCACCGCGGATTCAAGGGCGGCCCAATCCTCGTGGACGGCCATGCGGGGCGCGCCACTGGAATTTGCGATAAAGCCCTGGCGGTGGCTTGGAAATCAGACAGCTGCGGCGCGCGCGCGAAGAGGGGCCGAAGGAGGGGGGGGGGAGAGAGAGCACGATTCGCCAGAGTGACAAAAAGATTACAAAACGCATTGCTCAATTTTCAACGTCGCGCTCGCTCAAGGCCAGACTAAGCATCAATCACATGCTCGATAATGCTGCTCGCAGCGTCGTGGTTCCGAGAAGGCTCTGGGGCCAGGCAAACGTCAAAACCGGAGCATCACACGACTCCTCATGGCTGTGATACTCGGCAAGGAAATCCGTGCGCGCGTCTGGGTCAGTCGCGATCTTCATGATCTGCCCAGGCGGGGACGCGTCGCCCGTCGCGGCGATGGCCTTGATGACGGGCAAGACCGACGTTACGAAGTCGACACCGAATGTCTGGCCGCTGCCTGCCACGGCGCGCGCCTTGTTGGAGAGCCCTTCCTGGGATGGGCCGACCGCGAACATGCGCCCATCGCGCTGGACGTGCGTCCCGTCGACGACCTTGCCGCCCGGAAAGCGCTCGCCATCCTTTTCGTGCGTGCGAACGTACGTCGGGTACTTCTTGAGCTTCGCCTTCTCCTCCTTCTCGTGCCGGGAGTTCCCGAGATTATCCATGTAGTTTTGGAGGGCAGTTGGGTCCCGAACGGCTTCTTCGCGCGGGCCCGTGGCGTCGCCCTCGGCCATCTGCGTGGGCACCACGGGGTACGTGGGCTTGTTGTTCGGCGGAACAGCCACCTCTGCGAAGTTGGGCTCGCATGCCTTGGCGCCCTGCACCGCGTGCATCACCTCGAAAACGACAGGGTCGCCGCAGCGAGTGGGCATGCCATGTGAAAACAGCGATCGAGTCGAAACGTTGCGCGTCCAATGGGGGGCGCTGGAAGCCAGCCTCTGCCGCGCTCCAGCGGAACAGGCAAGAGCGATTCGTGACAGCCTTCCTCATGCTGTTCAGCCTGGGCGCCTTCTCAGCGGCCCCCTCGCCCGTCTGAGTGCCAGGAATGAGCGTCAGCTTCTTGATGCTGTAGGGCTTCAAGAACGATCCCTTAGCCTCTGTCGCCCCGTGGATCTCCAGCAGCAAGTTCGAGCCCGACACCTCGAGGCCGTCAGCTGGGTTCTCCCACGCCGCGGCCGCGCCCGCCATCTCGGCCACGAACGACTGCGCCCTCTGAAGCTGGCTCTCTGTGGGCCGCGACAGATATCCCCGCGCCTTGTCGATGCCGTAGTGATGCAAGAAAGTGAACAACTCGTCGTGCAAGTGAATGTACTTCCCCAAGGGCGACGTCAATTATCTGCTTCGGGTGATCCCCACCGAAACCTTGGGCCCCCGTCTTCCTCCTCCCGCCCCATGCCTTCTTCCCCTCCTCCTTCTTCCCCCCTCTCATCCTTAGACTAGGGGCGCAGGTGAGGAGGCCGCCCGCGGCGGGGCGGCGGCAAGGACTCGGAGATTCTCGGGGGAACTGGGGGTCTGGCGTGGTTTTGGTTTGTTCTGTGATGTGATCTTGTGCTCTGGTTTGGTTTGTTCTCTGATGTTATGTGGTTCTCTGTTATGTGGCGTTCTGCTTTGGCTTGTTATGTGACGCTATGGTGTGCTCTGTTCTTTTATGATATACATTGTTTGGTCATGATTTGTCATGCTATGGTATGCTATGTCGTAGTATGAATATGTCTGCTATGTTGTGCATGCCATGACCTGGCATGTTTTGTGATGTTCAGCCATGGTGTGGTTTGTAATGATACTGCTCATGTCATGTCATGATCGCGTTCTGTTATGGTATCTAATTGTCACGTGTTGTGTTCTGTCGTGTCGGTCGCTATGCTCAGTTGGCGTGTTATGACATGTTCTGAACGCTGCGTCGTGATCTTATAGGTTCCGTCCTGGTGTGTTATGTTATGATCGGTCCTGTTTTGTTATGGTGTGGTATGTCATGTTCTGCTCTGCAATGGTCTGTCATGGTATGCTTTGTGATGTTATAGTATGCTGTAGTGTGCCATGATTTACTATGGGGGTTTGTCATGTTTGTTATGCGATGTTATGGCGCGTTGTACTGTCTCATGATCTGCATTGTTTTGTCATGTTCTGCCATGCTATAGTATGTTCTGTCGTAATATGTCTACAATGTTGTGTTATTCTGTCATGGTATGATAGGGCATGGTCTATGATGCTATGTCACGGCCGGTTTTGAGTATACGATCATGTGATGTTCCGCCCTGCTATGTCGTGATCGTGCTTTGTTAGGAAATAGTATAGTGTGACGCGTTGTGTTCTGTCGTGTTTGTCGTTATGCTCTGTTGGCGTGTTATGACATGTTCTGAACGCTGCGTCGTGATACGATTTGTTCCGTCCAGGTGTGTTATGCTATATGATCGGTCCTGTTATGGTATGGTGTGTTATGTTATGTTCGGTTCTGCAATGTTCTGCCATGGTGTGCCTCGTGTATACATATAACGGCGCACCGGGTCCGGGGGCCCGGGGCCGGGACCCCGACCGCAAATGTGGGCTCCGGGGGGCCCCGAGGCTCGTCGGACCGCCGGACGCCGTCCAAGATCGTTCGCAGGCGGCTTCGAAACGCGCTCCGATGGCTCCAGATGCCTTCCAAGACGCCTATTATGACACCAAGAAGGTCCCAGAAGCCTCCAAGACGCTCCGAGAGGCAGCCCAAGAGAGGCCCAAGAAGCAAAAATCGTGCCATTCCTATGGGAAACGTATATTTTTCGCATGTTCGCCTCTTGGGTTTTCACCGCGTCCAAGACGGCCCAAGAGGCGCCCAAGACGGTCTACGAGGCCTCCGGGAGCGCTCCAAGGCTGCGCATGAGTGTCCCAGGACGGCCCCAAGACGGCCGAAGAGAACCCCAAGACGACTTCGAGAGGGGTCCCAGAAGGAGAAAGCCACTCTCGAATTCCGAGCTTCTGGCCCAAGAGGCTCCAGGAGGCGCCAAAATGCCGCCAAGAGGCGCCAAAAGGCTCCCAAAAGCACCCCAAGACGTTCCGAGAGGCACCCCAAGAGAGGTCCAAGAAACAAAAATCGTGCCATTCCTATGGGAAAACGTATATTTTTCGCATGTTCGCATCTTGGGCTTTCACCGCGTCCAAGACGGCCCAAGAGGCCTCCAAGACGGCCTAGGAGGCCTCCGGGAGCGCTCCAAGGCTGCGCATGAGTGGCTCTGGACGGCCCCAAGACGGCCCAAGAGAACCCCAAGACGACTTCGAGAGGGGTCCCAGAAGGAGAAAGCCACTCTCGAATTCCGAGCTTCCGGCCCAACATATCCCAGGAGGCGCCAAAACGCCACCCAGAGGCGCCAAAAGGCTTCCAAAATCAGCCCAAGACGTTCCGAGAGGCACCCCAAGAGAGGTCCAAGAAACAAAAATCGTGCCATTCCTATGGGAAAACGTATATTTTTCGCATGTTCGCATCTTGGGCTTTCACCGCGTCCAAGACGGCCCAAGAGGCCTCCAAGACCGCCCCAAGACGGCCCAAGAAGCTTCCAAGAGGGCCCCAGGACAGCCCAAGAGGGCCCCAAGACGGCCCAAGAGGCGCCTAAGATGGCCCAAGAGGGCCCCAAGACGGGCCCAAGAGGGGGCCCAGAGGGGGACCACGAACCGCAAGCTCGAGCCTTCCGCCCCAAGAGGCCGCCAGGAGGCCCCAAGGAGGCCCCTCAAGAGGCCCCAGGAGACCCCCAAGAGGCCCAAAGGAGGCCCCGAGAAGCCCCAAATCGGCCCCCAAAATGCTTCGAACCTGCTTCCAGGAGGCACCCGACAGGTTCAGAGGCTCCCGAGAAGCTACGTCAAACTCCCAGCGAGCGGCCGGACGAGGCCCCCCACAAAATCACAAGAGGGTTCCAGTATTTGTATCATTCCGCGCTCTCTGGCCTTCTTCCCCCTGCCCCCTTCCCTGCGACTTTCGTTGACTCAAGCTCGCCTCCTAGCTAGAACCTAAGCGCGCGCGAAGCGCGCGCGTGGTTCTAGTTGTCATATTACGCTGTGCTTGTCATGGTATTGCTATGTTATGTTCTGTCATTGTAGGTTGTGTATTGCTGTGTTTTTCGTGTTTGTCGAAGGCGCGAGGCGGGGCTCCCAGGGACTCGGGGACTCTCGGGGCAACATGGGGTCTGGCAGCCGCGCCATGCAGTCGTGTTTGTCGAGGGCGCTAGGCGGGAGTCCCAGGGACTATCGGGGGCTCTCGGGGCAACTTGGGGTCTGGCGGCCGCGGCATGCAGTCGTGTTTGTCGAGGGCGCGAGGCGGGAGTCCCAGGGATTCTCGGGGACTCTCGGGACAACTTGGGGTCTGGCGGCCGCGGTACGCGCGGGGTTGGTCGGGGGGCCTGTTCTTGAAATCTAACCGCCCCAACCTGGCGGGTGGGGCACAAGGCAAACGCCGTCGGGTCGTCCTGAAACCGCGTCTCCTGGACATTCTCCTTCACGGGACCTGCCCCGAGGGTGGCGAAGGAATCCATCACCCCGGCGCGCCTGCCTCGAGGCGTCGAGCCTGTTGGCGCGGGGGGGCGCTCGCGCGTGGAGAGCCTCGTGGCACTCCCAATGGCAGGCAGCGTTGCGCAGATCGACCATCAGCGCGACCTTGCCGCAGTTTCTGGCCTCGCCCGAGACCGTGCTCTTCAGCAAAAATCGCTGCGCGCCGCCGTCGTCGTGGATGCCTCCTTGCATGGTAGCAGCACGGCAGAAAAAGCAAACTTGGTACCCTCCTTGCGGTGCCCTTCCTCGTTCCCGAAGCACGCGGGGGGCCGTGCTCTTGGGCGCCCGAATGGACGCTGCGGCGGAGGGCTGAAATCAAATATTTGGAATTGCCTCCGCCCCCTGCGTGGAACAAGCCGACGCGCGTGTCTTGATATTCCCCGAAAGCCCGAGGATGTCGCCGGCGCGTGCCATGCGACGGCCTTCGCCCCCCCCCCCCCCCGCAAATGCAGTCGCCAGTGCCATCTTGAACTTCTTGCGATCGGCCTCGGGCGGCTTGTGGGTCAAGTAATTGTCCGGGGAGCATTTCATGTGGATGCAGCAATTGTTACCCGCTGGCTTCTGGATTCACCGTATGCTGCCAGCTCCTTGCGCGCCCCCCCGCGGCCGAGGAACTCTTTGCGCGAGCACTGCCGAAGCATGGCATTATCTGCTCCGTGGGCGGGCGGTCCTGCTGAAAGAACTCGGCGGGCGCTTTCAAGGCGGCAGGCCCCTTCGCGGCATTCACGAAGCGCCAGGGCATGTTGGAGAGCGAGTGCGCCGCTGCCGCTGCCCAGTGCTTCGCGCCGCGCAGCTCGAAGTCTTCCACGGGAGCGAAATTCGCCCACTGAAGGAAGCTCTTCAAAAAGTGAAGGACGCTCGCCCACCTACGTTCCACATCTGCCTTCGCGCCTCGCTGAGCGCAAACTTAGCAGCCGCCATCGCCTGTTCCGTGGGGCTGACAAGGCGCTGAGGCACCGAGTCGACGGCGAGCCAGGCCCCGTCGTCCAGCTGGTCGGCGGCGTCGGGATGTGCGCGAAGCTCGCTGCCGCAGAGCAGGCCGACGACGCGGGCGAGGAGGAAGTCACTCTTTGGGCCCCAGTGCATGTCCAAGTCTACGCGCAAACACATGATGGACATACAGGCGACCCGGATTAGTAGGTCGACCCTGCCAGATCAAGGGCACCCTTTGTGTCCTGTGTCCCGCGACCCATGCTTCGTGTATTCCTGTTGCGATGCGGCCCGCGAAAGGGTCTTGTGTCCTCTCGCGTGTCCTCTCCAATCAAGCCCGACCGTAGCACCCTTCTTGACGGTGTCCATGCCCCCCCCCCCCACCACGCCATCCCCAAAGTCAGGCGCAAGCCTGCTCGAAGGCCGCCTTCGCCTCCTCCAGGACAGCGGCCTCAGGCCCCGCCCCCGCCGCCCAAACTCTGGAAGTTTTGAAGCTGGCGCCCAGCTGCTCCAGCTCGTCGCTTGGCATCGCTCGGACGTGTGCCTTTTTTTTTTCTTCGGCGAGGACCATCGAGGAGCATCCTTGATCATTTGGCGAACAAGCCACGCACGAAACCGAACAAAAGCACAGGGAATGGGCGTCCGAGCGATGGCCAGGTCGTGCTTCCACATCTCCACGTCACTGACACTCGCCGCCGCGTCCAAGCGCGCGCGCCGCCCGACGGGGGCATCGGCAGGGGCCGCCGTGCACGCGACGCGCGTGGAAAGCGAGAGGCGCGAGGCGTTCGTCCAAGCAGACGCCTGAGCATTTACCTTCTTTGAGCCAAAACACCACCAGTGTGGAGGCGAACCCATATCAAGAATTGTCTTAAAGTTTCCCACGTTGCCTTGCGGAGTTTCCCGTTGGTTCCTTCATGGGTGCCCTGCAGGAGGCTCTCGTGTGTCTCTCGCGTGTCCTCCCCTGGGCTCCCTCCTACGCTCTTTTGTGGGGGGTCCCCGCGGGTTGCTCTGCGTTTTCTTGCCAGTGCACCCCTTTTCCGCGCCATGCTAGGAAGCAAACCTGCTATCGACAATTGGATGGTGCATTTTGTGTCTTCTCGGATCCTGAAACCTGTTCCTAATCCGAACCACAAGAGGAAGAGCCACTGCCCGCGGCCAACGACTCAGACGTTGAAGACGAGCGCGACGAAGAGGACGATGACGACGACTTCTCGGAGGGCCTCTTGCTGACCTTGCTCTTCGCCCTCGCCGTGGCTTTCGCCTGGGCCTGCGCTCTGCTCCACCGCTGTGCCTCCCTGTCATGGTTCTTCTTCTCCTCCGCCGTCACAGGCGCCCTGGTGGAGACCTGCGGGGGCGGCGCCTGCTTGCCGCGCAAACGGCTCCCCGCCGCCGGCTGCTTCCATCCGTTGTTGGCCATCGTATGTTCGATCGTCTGCGTCTTTGTCGGGGGCCCCACCGCCTTCTCCATGGGAGGCGCGCGGGGCGTAGCTATCCAACGACGGTGGTATGGAAATCTTGAGCCTGGAAACAGCCACGGACAATATGCATCAGATGACGAGTGCCGTACTCACGTGCTGCCGATGCCGATGGCGAGTGGTACTTTCAAGATGCTGTCGATGACGATGGTAGTGACAAGCGTGTGTTTCAAGGTTGTGCCGATGGCAAAGGTGATGACGAGTATGGTAGTCATGATGCTATCGATGACGGTGCTGATGGCATGCATCGGCCAGACTGTATTACCGATGATGAATGTGATGACGAGTACTCCTCTCAAGATGCTGCCGATTGCAATGGTGGTGACCAGCATGTGGTTCATGACAGTGCCGATGACGATGGTGATGACAAGTATGGTAGTCAGCTGCTGTCGATGGCGATGCTGATGGCAAGCAGCAGCCAGAAGATATCATCGATTACGATGATGAGGACGAGTGCTCTCACGACGCTTTCGATGACAATGGTGGTGACGAGAATGTGTTTCAAGACATTGCCGATGGCAATGGTGATGACGAGCATGGTAGTCAGGATGCTGTCGACGACGACGACGATGCTGATGACATGCACCAGCCAGAATATATGATCGATGACGGTGGTGATGACGAATACTTATCTCAATATGCCGTCGATGACAACGGTGGCGACGAGGATGTTGTTCAAGCCAGTGCCGATGACGATGGTGATGACGAGTATGGTCGTCAGGATGCTGTCGATGACGTGACATGCATCAGTCATAAAATGCTATCGATGACGATGGTGATGACGAGTAATTCTCTCAATACGCTGTCGATGACAATGGTGGTGACCAGCACGTGGTTCAAAACAGTGCCGATGACGATGGTGATGACGATTACGGTCGACAGGATGCTCTCGGTGACGATGCTGATGTCGAGTGCGGTCGGTCGTCAGGACCTCTGAACGAGAAGCATTTCTCATTCTCCTCCTCCTCCTCCTCCTCTTCCCCCCCCCCCCTATCGGAGAGGAAGGAGGCGGGGTAGGAGAGGGAGGAGGAGGAGGAGGAGGAGGAGGAGAAGGATGATGATGATGATGATCAGGAGGAGGAGGAGGAGGAGGAGGAGGAGGAGGAGGAGGAGGAGGGGGAAAAAGTGTTTCCGAAGGCTGCTGGCGCCGAGGGTCCCTGGCGCTGCTAGCTTCCACTGACGAGTGGCCGCTGGGGGGAAGATCCCACGAGAAGAAACAAAAAATACTTGGCCCAGGGGGGCCGTTTTTTTTTCGTTATATTTTTTTGCCCGCCCGAAAACAAATCTGGATCATCGGATTATGGAGGCCAGTTTGTTTTGTTTGTTTTTGTTCCTGGGCTTTTTCCTCCAGGGTCGGATCCTCCACGTGGAGGAAGAGGATCTGCTGAATGAAAGAACCGACGACGACAGCGACAACGAAGTAATCGACGACGACGGGGACAAAGATGACGACAACTACGAAAACATCGACGACGACGACGACAACGACGACGCAGCATCCTTATGAAAAACGAAACCTTCAAAACGCAGGCCCCCGTTAGGCCCCCGAAGCCGCTGCGCGCTGGTGCTGCCCGCTGGTGTTGCTGGGGCCCGTTGCCGGCAGTTACCAGGGAGCAGTTACCCGGGGGGTGGGGGAAGGGGAGGGGCGAGAGGGCGGGTAAGGTCATGAGTTACGTTGGCGCCGTCTGAGAATTCGTTGCCCCCGGCAATTCCCGAGCGGCACCGGGCGCGATCCGTCACGTTGCCAGGTCGTGGGCGGGAGGGGGGAAGCACCTCTGGGCACCGGCCGTCATCACGAATCGTAAAAAAGCGTGTTCTTGGCTGGTGGTGCTGCTGGAGGTGCTGGCGGCGCTGGCCAACATTGGCATGTCTGCGAAGATGGGCCTTGCGCCAGAGACGTCCTCGGGCAGCTAGGATGTTGACCGACACCTGTTACTACCTCTTATCTTAAACATGGCGCTCTCGCTGGAGACATCCTCAGAACAGGAGCAGGCTGCTGGTTGCTGGTGCTGGTGGTGGTGCTGGTGGAGGATCGAGTCTGGAGGGTCGATGTTCATTGGAGGGGTCTGGGGTCGGGTCCTTGCTGCCAGCCACTGCTGCTATTCCTCGTGCTCGGTTGGTCCGAGCGACCGGGCTGCAGGACCTGCCTCTGCTACGCCGCGAACGCCGTCTTCGAGACGCCGGGCATCCCTGCACCGACCGACAGGACGAACTACCACTGGACGTGCGGCAACGAGGGGGGCGACAAGTACGAGATTTGCTTCAAGTCCGACCCGAAGTATACCGACAACTTCGGGGACGCGTTCGACGTGAACAAGCCAAAGTGCCCCGTGTGAGCGGGGCCTGTTCGGAGTCCGTTGGTGTCGCTGGCGTGGGGAAAACTCTCCATCGTCTTGTCTTCGTGTCTGGCGGCTCGGCTTCACCAGCCCGAGGCGCCCTCCCCTCTCGCAGATGGGGCGGGGCAACGACCAGAGACCCTGATCGCGGCATGCACTGCTTGAGGGTTGTGCATCCGTGGGAGCGTTGAGACGACCTTGAGATCACATTGGAGTCATCGTGGAAAATCACGATCGGAAGCCATAACGTACACATCACCAGTGGCGGGTTGTTTTTCAATCCCAGGACTTTTGAGGGCCGGGGACGATGTCGGGGTGGAAAGTATGGTGTCTACCTTTTCCCCCGTTTTCCGGGGAAACAACAAAACAGGGGAAACCGAAAACATGTATACACCAGGATCCCGTATACACCAGGACCCGCTTTCTTGTGCGAATTCCACTGCAGGGCCAACACAAAGCGTCGGTGTATAGAGCTCGGCTCCGCACGCGATTGGAGCCCTGGATGTCATCCTTTCGCGGCATCTTTCGAGCTGGATCGATCTGCGAGAGGCATCGGATCGAATTGCACGCGAGCAGATAGGAGCGAACAGTCTCAACATGATTGTTGCTGTTCCAATTCCCCCCGCTTGTCCCCTCCTCCTCCTGCTCCTCCTCCTCCTTCCACCTCCTCCTCCTCCCCCTCCTCCTCCTCCTCCTCCTCCTCCTCCTCCTCCTCCTGCTCCTCCTCTTCCTCCTCCTCCTCTCCGTCCCCCTCCCCCTCCCCCTCCCCCTCCCCCTCCCCCTCCCCCTCCCCCTCCTCCTCTTCCTCCTCCCTCCTCCTCCTCCTCCTCCTCCTCCTCCTCCTTCCCCCTCCCTCCTCCTCCTCCTCCTCCTCCTCCTCCTCCTCCTCCTCCTCCTCCTTCCCCCTCCTCCTCCTCCTCCTCCTCCTCCCTCCTCCCCCTCCTCCTCCTCCTCCTCCTCCTCCTCCTCCTCCTTCCCCCTCCTCCTCCCCCTCCTCGTCCTCCTCCTCCTCCCTCCTCCTCCTCCTCCTCCTCCTCCTCCCCTCCTCCCCCTCCCCCTCTCCCTCCCCCTCCCCCCCCTCGTCCTCCTCGTCCTCCTCCTCCTCGTCCTCCTCCTCGTCCTCCTCCTCCTCCTCCTCCACCTCCTCCTGGATTCCTCGGCCTCCTTCGGACCGAGGCCGACCTCCCCGCGGTAAAAGCCTTCGGGGCGCGCCTCCTCTCTCTAAGCGGGGGAGGAGAAGTTCGAGTCGGCCTCAGAGGCAGGAGGCGACGGTGCCGCCGACCTCGAGGCTGAGGGCCAGCTGGCCCGCGGCGACTCGCTCCAGGCCGCTGTCGTATCTTATTTCCTCCCTCCTTCCTCCTCCTCCTCATCCTTCTTCCTCGCCATCCTCAGCCTCCTCATCCTCATCCTCCTCATCCTCATCACCATCCTTCCGTCATCCTCATCCTCACCATCCTCCTCCTCTTCCTCCTCCTCCTCCTCCTTCCTCCCCCTTTTCTCTTCATCCACCTTCCTCCTTCCTTCCTCCTCCCCCTCATCCCCCCAATGGCTCGGCGGCAGAGGTCGGGCGCCGGCCACAGCCCGCGCCGGGGGCCCCGTGGCCGCCCTGGCGGCCACGGGGGGGCAGCCGGGGGGCAGCAGCGGGCAGCAGCACGATCGGCTTCGGTTGGCTCAGGCGATGGCAGGCATGGATCAAGGGGGCGTGGATTAGCGTCGGGTCCCGTTTCCATGGGAAATCGCGGATTTCCGCCGCCGAGCGAGGCGACACCGGCCGCATTTTGGGGAGGGCACCTCCCCCGATCCATGGATTTGGCGCCAAATACATGGATCGTTGATCCATGTTTGCGCGCCCCCGATTGGCGGCGCGCACGAGTCAGAAAGACAACTGAGCGGCCGAAGAAGACGGGTTCGAATGCACCGATGCTGGCCCGTAAGCTCCCCACCGTAAGGTCGTGCGTGAGCCGCGCTGGCGGCCAGCGTGAGCTACCGCGTAAGGTCGCTACGTCAACATGCGTAAGACCCGCTTCTTTTTGTCGCTCATTTATCGGGTTAGGAGGGTGGGGTTGGGAGAAATGATCGTATCATCTATATATAGCCGCGTATTTTGACGGTGCTTGTTACACAGTCGTGCTTGGTATTTTCCCCTTCCCCTTCCTCCCAACACGGTAGGTGTCTTTCTCAACGAGGGGATGGCGCGAGGGGCGCGGTTTTCTAAGGAGGGTTTTGGGGTCCCAGATCTCTCGCGGTATGATGCTTTTCAATCGGCTGGTTTTGCATCGATTTCGGCCCCTGGGGGCCATTATCGGGCCCTGGCGCGCTCAAAAACTGATTCAGTACGAACACGTACTCCTTGGAAAGCGGTCGGAGCTTCTGTGGCCGCTGATTGAAAATCTGATCTCCGAGCACGTTGAGTGACAGCCCCCACCATCTCCGCGCTATCCGTTTTGGTGCAGTTTGGCTCTTGTAGGCAATTCGCCGTTGCAGGCCGCTAACGACGACCAGGGCCCACCCTTGCGCCCGGTGGCCGCAACGGGGCTCATCAGAACACGCGCGGTGGTGGTGTATATCAGAGTGAAGGGGGCGAACGGTCATTCATTGTCCTTGGATGCGTGGCTGAAGTGTGCTTCCGCGGTGCGGATTGAGCTTAAAGTATTTATGAAAGATTATTGTTGGTCCCCCCCCGGCATACATTGTACTGCTCAATTGAAGTGCCCCTCTCGGGGCTCGCACTTTGATTATTCATCAAGGATAGTGGTGAGGCTCAAATTGGGCCCCTGGCCCCCCGAACTACGAGGACAGCGGCTCCCGCCTGATACGCCCTCACAATTTGTGGGGCCCTCCCGCTCCCGCTTGAAACTTCTTCGCAGTTTATTGAATCTAGGCCTCCCAGATGGGGTCGGAGTAGATGGGGTCGGAGGCTCGCACCGCATCGCCGATGCATCGGCGATGCATCGGCGATGCATTGGCGATGCGGCTCGATGTGGAGACTGTGTTTCCCCACGCCGACGTCGCCGATGCATCGCCGATGCATTGCCGATGCATCGCCGATGCATTGGCGATGCGGCGCGATCCTTCGACCCCATCTACTCGGACCCCATCTAGGAGGCCTCTACTGAAGCATCGCGCTCCAGCTTGAGGCTTCCCTTCCCTGCAGTTTACTCAGGCGCCGCGCTCTCGCCGTTCAGGAATTGGCGCTCCCGCGCTGGACTTCCTCATAGCTTCCTTGGGGATCGCGCTCCCGCTCGAATTGCGCCGCGCTCTCGCCATTCAGGAATTGCGCTCTCGCGTTGGACTTCCCTATAGTTTACTTGGGGATCGCGCTCCCGCTCGAACTTTCCTGGCGAGCGATGCAGGATTCACGCATTCGCGACCCGCCCGCTCGACCCGCTCGTCAGGGTCCGCCCGCCTGACTCGCCCTGTAAGGCCCGCAGTCGCCCTTCGCTGCTTTTCGCCAGTGCCGATGCCCCTCGCTGCCCCTCGTGACACCGCAGTCGGATCTGAAGGCCCGCCGCTGCCTTCGTAGCCTCCTCGATGCCTTGCGTGGCCCCGCTATTTGAGCCCCATCGATGCCGTTCGTGGTCCCGCGGTCGCCTTTCGCAGCCCCCTCGCTGACCTTCGTGGCCCCCATGTAGCTCTTCGTGGCCCTCTCGCTGCCCTTCCTGGCCCCTCTGCCGCCCTCAGTGGCCCCTCAGTGGCCCCCTTCTGCTTAAGGCTGCGCCAGTTACACGTGGCAAGGAAGAAATACCCTTTAAAAGGGGGTACGATCGAAGACGAAGAGGGCGGGTATCCAGGGTTAGAGAAACACATGTTGATTGACACGCACGCGTGTAAGAGCGAGCAATATTAAAACTGATTGCTGTTGTTGGTGGTGGTGGAGTTGTTGGTGTTGCCGTTGTAGTGGTTGTTGTTGCAGTTGCAGTTGCTGTTGTTTGGTGTGTATGTGTTGTTTGCTGTTTGTTGTTTGTTGTTTGCTGTTTGGTGTTTGGTGGTTCGTGCTTCGTGTATGTTGTTGTTGTTGTTGTTGTTGCTGCTGTTGCTGTTGTTGTTGCTGCTGTTGTTGTTGTTGTTGCTGTTGTTGTTATTGTTATTGTTGTTGTTCTTATTGTTGTTGCTTGGTCTTTTGTTTTTCGTTTTGGTGGTGGCTCCGTCGTCGTTATTGTTGTTGCTGTTGTTGGTGGTGTTGTTGTCGTCGTCGTCGTTGTTGCTGTTGTCGTTGCTGTTGATCACTGCGGATCCCCCATCAGGTGCCCATTGTGTTTTTTCAACTGAAGTGCCCCCCAGGGCTCGCAATCTGTTCTTTACAATGGGAAGAGTTTGGGGCCTCAGATTGTGACCCTGGTCCCTAGTTTACAACAACAGCGGATACCGCCTGATACTTCGTCACACTCGATTTCAACATCGCGCTGTCGTTGTGGACTTCTTAACAAGTTACCCATACATCGAACTCTCGCGTGAGACCTCCTCGCAATTGTTCGCACGCAGAGCAGATGCGTGCAGATAAGAGCGAACAGTATGTAACTGAGTGTTGATGTTGCTGCTGTTTTTGTTGTTGCTGTTGTCGGTGGTGGTGTTGTTGTTGCTGTTGCTGTTGTTGTTGTTGTTGTTGTTGTTGTTGTTGCTGGTGGTGTTTGTTGTTTGTTGTTTGTTGTTTGTTGTTTGTTGCTTGTCTTTTTTGTTTGTTTGTTCGGTGCTGTTTTTTCTTGTCGTTGTCCCGCTCGCGATCCAGTCCGCGACCCACGCGCCACCCACCGCAACCGCGACCCGCCCGCGACCCACCCGCCACCCATCCGCGACCCACCGGCGACCCACCCGCGACCCACCCGCGACCGACTCTTGACCCACCCGCGACCCACCAGCCACCCACCTGCGACCCACCCCGCGACCCACCCGCGACCCACCTGTGATCCACCCGCGACCCACCCCGCGACCCGCCCGCGACACATTCGTGACCCGCCCGCGACCCGCCTGCGACCCACGTGCGACTCACCCCGCGACCCACC